TTTTAGGGAAAGGTTTAAAGGGTGTTCAGGGTTTAGGTCAGACTCTCAGTGATTCGCTTGTTCACAGCCTCCCAAGAGCTGGGATTACAGGCGCGCCACTACGCCCAGACTCAACTGCTGTCTCAGTGCGCCCCAGGGGCAGGCCCAGCACGGCTGGCCCAGGCACTGAACCCCCGGCCCCTGCGCCTGCTTGCGGGTGCTTTAATCTGAGATATTTGGCTGGCCCAAGACCAAACTTCCGATTACCTTGCCTCGCCTCCCGCATAGTAGCTGCAATGGCAGGTGTGTACAACCACATCCCGCTCTTGCCCTTCTTCTCGAGGCCCACGCCTAGTACAGCTGTAGTAGAAAGAGCTCCTTACTGCCAGAGCCACGAGAGCTCTCCATCCCGTGAGCTCCCACGTTTACTGTCTGCACCCATCAGGGGACTTCCGCTGTATGCTGACTCACACAGCTAAATACCTCTTGTTTATATTCTAACATTCAGGAAGCGATAATCCGCCATCTTATGTCCAAGTGCCTAGCACAGGGATCGGAACACAACTGATGTTCAAATCATGATGAGCAAACCAGGTGTGGGGGCTCATACCTGAGATCCCAGCACCCTGAGAGGCTGAGGCAGGAGGACAACAAGTTCCAAGGCAGCTTGGGCCACGTAGTGACTTAGTAAGACCCTCTCTCAAATTAAAAATTATTAAAGGGACTGGGGATTTGGCTCAGCTAAGTAGAATGCTTGCCTAGAAAGTTAGAAGCCCTGGATTCGGGCCTTGGCATCAAAAGCAAAAAATAAAAAATAAAAATAAATACAGCAAAGGGGCCAGAGTCCATCCCTGGTGTGCCATTCTGGCCCCACCCCAGGGGCTATCTCCCAATCCCTTTCTTGTTTTTGAGCAGTACTACTATGTAGTTGAAGCCAGCCTCAAGCTCACAATGACCTGCCTGCATGTGCCACTATACCTGGTAAGAACGTAAATTTAAACCTACATAAAGAATGATTTTCTAGGGCTGGCCAGATAGCTGAGCAGACTAACGTGCCTACTTAGGCAGAGCGCAGTGGCTGGGGTTTGATCCCTGGCCTGCCATGCTAGCCGGACCACCCAGGCACCCTGAGACAGCAATTGGGACTGGGTGTGGTGGCACATGCCTGTAATCCCAGCACTTGGGAGGCTGAAAACAGGAGAATCATTATGAGTCCTATCTATGCAGTGAGACCCTATAGACCCTGTGCTAAGTACACAAAATTAAAAAAAAAATATTTTCTAGGGCAGGTGAGATAGCTCAGCAGACTAAGCGCCTGCATAGGCAAGCACAGGAACCAAGGACCACATGTCCCATATGCCCACCCCCGGGCACACTGAGCAGGCCACCAAGGCCTGGTGTGGTGGCACATGGCGGTAATCCCAGCACTGGGGAGGCTGAAAACAGGAGGAACAGTACAGGTCTGAGATACACTGTGAGACTTTGTACCAAATACATTAAAAAAAAAAAAAAGAAAAAAAAAATGATTTTTTTAACCAGGCATGGTAGTCCCCACTCCTAAGCCCAGTGCTTTGGGAGGCTAAGTCAGTAGGATCACAAGTTCAAAACCAGCCTGGGTAATTCAGTGAAAATGCATATCAAAATAAAAATAAAAAGGGTTGGGGCCAGGCAGATAGCTCAAAAGAATAAGCTCTTGCCTGGAGCACAGGGTCCTGAGTTCAATCCCCAGTACCACAAAAAATAAATAAATAAATAAATAAATAGAGTTGAGGATAGAGATTAGCACTTTGTAGTTTCTGAGGAAAAAACATGATTTGGAGGTACAGCTCAGTGGATAGCCTATAAATCAAAGGTGTAGGCCACAATTTGATCCCCAAAACAACAAAGACAAAAATTCCAAAAGGGCATGATTTCTCTCTCTCTCTTTTTTTTATTTAAGGAAGGGGAATGTTTACTTAGCTCACAGTTTATACAGGTTTCAGTCCATAATCAGCTGGCTCCCAGGCAAGACTTCAAAGTGGAAGACAGCAAAAGCCACAAGAGCAAGCCTTCTTTCCTCCCTTACACTGTAAGCAGGCTATGATTTCTTTTTGCTTGGGGTATGAAAAGCCGAACTGGGCATGGTGGTGCACACCTATAATCCCAGCGTAAGGAGGCTGAGGCTGGGGGACTGCTGCGAGTTCAAAGCCACCTTGAATGCATAGTGAGATCTTGCCTCAAAAAAAAAATGTCAGGGCCAGGGAGATGGCTCAATAGAATAAGCGCTTCCCTGGCAAGTGCAAGGGCCTGAGTTCAATCCCCAGTTCCGGAAAAAAACAAACAAACAAGCAAAAAAGAGTCAAAAGCATAAATTTGAAATTTATTAATTAGTTCTGCAGAGAATACACTGTATTTTAAACTCCCGAAGATAAAAAAATCTTACTTCTAATAGTTGCTTTCTTCCCTCCCACCCTCCTCCCCTTTTTTCTTATTGTTTTTTAGTTTTTTGAGACAGAGTTTCATTATGTGTGTGGTTCAGGCTTGCCTTAAACTCACTAGATTGCCTAGGCTGCCCTTGAACTCACAGCTGTACTGCCCCTGCCTCCCAAGTGCTGGGATTAGACCATGCCCAGTTTCTTCATGCCCTTTTAAGTTTTGTTTGATTATTAATACAGAGCTTTGCTGTGTAGCCCAGGTTGGCCTCAAAGTCACAATCCTCCTGCTCCCAAGTAATACAGACTTCTTCCAAAAAAGGTCTAGCTATAAGCCACTATACCAAGCTCCTTTTTTCTTTCATTTAGAGAATTAAATAGCTGGGGAGATGGCTCAGTGGAATAAGCACTTGCCTAGGGACCCAAGTTCTATTCCCGGTTCCACCAAAAAAAAAAAAAAAAAAAAAGCATATTGAGAATTAAATAAATGACATACTAAGAAAAGTATAATACTAGACTATAATACTGTGACAAATGATCATTTGTATTTTCTCTACACCAAACCTTAGTCACCAACATTATATTCTATGAGACAAAGTACTTGCAGGGAAGTAACATTTTAAAATGTAGCAGCAATAGGGACCAGGGCTTGATCCCCAGCACCACATGGCATGCCCGGGAGCGTGCTGAGCTGGCCACCAAGACCAGATGGTGGGACATATCTGTAATCCTAATGCTGGGGAGGCTAAAAACAGGAGGATCACCAGGAGCATGAACTACATAGTGACACCCTGTACCAGACACATTTAAAAAACAGACAAAAAAAGTAGCAGTGATACTTTCTATCAAAAGCAAAGGGTAGGGGCTGGTGAGATGGCTCAGTGGTCTAAGGCACCTACTTAGAACAAGCTTAGCAAATCACAGGGACCGTGGTTCAATCCCCCAGCACCACATGCCAGCCAGCCCCGCCCCCTGGTGGGCTGAGCTGGCCACACACACACACACACACACACACAAATAAAATTTATAAAAAAAAAAAAAAAAGCAAAGGGTAAGCTTTTAGGCCTGAGGTGAGAATAATGCAATTATTAAAAGAAGTTTAGGGCTGGGGAAATAACTCAGTGGCACAAGTGCCTGCCTGGCAAGCACAAGGTCCTGAGTTCCATTCTCAGTACAAAAAAAGAAAAAGGAAAAAGTTTAAACATAAGAGAAATGCACAGAAAGTGTAAACCTCAGCTAACTGTGAGGTAGAAAGGCTCAGGGACTCAGCTTTCAACTCCACTGGTAATGTTGCATTTCCTAAGCAGCCAAAAATATTCTTTGTAGCGGCTTTAGACACTCTGTATGTATTAAATAACAGAAACAATGTTGTAAGATGATTCAGGAAGAAATCAGATGCAGATTTTCAGCAGCCTTGAGTCCCTTAAAGAGCTAAACTCATTAATAAGATTTCCTGCCAGATTACTAGGCCTACTAAGCATAAAGTAAAGATCAGTTGTCAAAGTCATTACTTTTTCTTTTTTTTTTTTCTTTTTTGCATTCCTTGGGTCAAACCCAGAGGCACTCCTCCACCACTAAGCTACAACCCCAATCATTTTTCATTTTTTAAAAACTGCCCGGCAAGTGTAAAGGCCTGAGTTCAATCCCCAGTTCCACAAAAAAAAAAAACAAAACAAAAAAACCCTGCAATACAGAGTACTGCAAGCTGCCAGGGCCATCCTCAGACTTGTGATCTTCCTGCCTTAGGCCCTCAGAGAAGGGGGTCACAGCAATCAAACTTAGGACTTTGCGCATGCCACACAGGGCCTGGGCCACTAAGCTATACTTTGGGCCTCACCTATTTTTTTGAGGGAAGGAGAACTGAACCCACATTCCTGATACATGCTAGGCAAGCCCTCTACCACTGAGCTACATCCCGGGCACCAAAATAATTACCTTTTCAGAAGAGATCTTCAAAAGCAAATCTACTTGATACAAAGCGGCTCCATTTTCTTTCCTTGGATCAATACTTAGGTACCCACTTCCTGTATCATCACTTGTTAGCAGCTCAATATCACTCCACATGTCTCAGGTAACTGTCTTCCTCAGTCAGAGGCACTGTCTTTCCTGGGATAAAGCGAAAAATTACAGACCAAATTGTCTTGCTGCCTTGAAATCAGTTTCTTTTGGCCTTTTAGACATACTATGGAAAGCACCAGAGTAGACTATAAAACTGTGATAAATGATCAGCTGTATTTTCTCTACACCAAATCTTAGTCACCAACATTTTATTTTATGAGCTAAAATAATTTGAGGAAAGTATGATTTTTTTTTTTTTTTGCAGAACCAGGGATTGAACTCAGGCCCTTGCGCTTGCCAGGAAAGCACTTATTCTACTGAGCCATCTCCCCGGCCCAAAAAATATGAACTTTAAAAATAGAGTATTAAAGATGCTTTCTATCAAAAAAGGTCTACCTTGAACTCACTTTGTAGCCAAGGTTGGCATCAAACTCAGTGATCCTCCTGCCTCAGCCTTCTGAATGGTGGGATTACGGGCATGCACCACCATGCCCAGCTAAAATCAGTTCTTCAATAAATGAAAAGTTACTTTTAGGGGCTGGAGAGATGGCTCAGTGGTCTAAAGCACCTACTTAGAACAAGCTTAGTAAAGCACAGGGGCCACAGTTCAATCCCCCAGCACCACATGTCAGCCAGCCCCGCCCCCTGGTGGGCTGAGCTGGACACACACACACACACACACACATAAATAAATAAAATTAAAATTAAAAAAGTTACTTTTAAAAAAAGGTCAAAAAAACTAATAACACATAAAAACTTTTCCTGAATTCATGTTATTTCCATGGTCACCAGATATTCTGGATTAAAAAAATGGAAATACATTATGATTATCAGAGAATATCACTGGTTTATACACACACAAACCAACAATTCCATTATCACCAATATGTCCTAGAGCTTCTAGTCGTTTGTGTGCTCAACAGCTTGAAATGACTCAGTTTTCACCTAAAACAAACTTTTAATCAGGATAGCAGGAAAGAGCACAGGCTGTGAGGGGACAATGTCTACGCTGTCTCAGAAAAATTCCAGATAAACTTTTTTTAAAAAGCCCTTAATGTGGGCCATTAGCTCAGCAGACTAAGCGGCTGCTTCGGCAAGCGCAGCGAGCAGGGTTCAATCCCCGGTCCCGCATGCTGCTCCAGAGACCAAGACTGCGCTGCACTGCGAGACCCCGCACCAAATACACAGATGAAAAAAATATTAAAAGCCCATTCATGCTTTCAGGGTTTTTATTTTAGGCAGGATTTCACTATGTAGCTCAGGCTGGCTTTGAACTAACTATGAAGCCCTGTCTGGCCTCATGGCAGTCCTCCTGCCTCAGCCTTCCCAGTGCTGGGATTACAGGCACGTGCCATCACGGCCAGCTTCACAGTATTGCTACACAACTGAAATTTTAAAAGTAAAAGTAAGGGGGAAAAAATAACTCCATTAGCTTTTTAACTGGACTGAAGAGTACATTTAAAACCTGAGGGGGTAACCAGGTGTGGTGGCGCATGCCTGCCATCCCAGCATAGGGAGGCTGAGGCAGGAGGATCGTTTCAAGTTGAGACCAGCCTGGGCTGTAAAGTGAGCTCAAGGTCAACCTGAACTGCACAGCAACATCTTGCCAAAAAAATAAAAAAGCCTGCGGGGAGTCATGCAACCATCTCATTAGCAAAGATTTTTGTAATTCATATTATCTGGGATCTAAATAACAATACTAAAGTAAAAATCTATCCTTAAATAAGAGACTGGTGGGGAAAGATATCCAAATAATTAAAAAAAATTTAGTAAGTGCTATCAAAGCATATTTAAAAATCTTCTGGGAGGGGCAGGGGATATAACTTCATGATAGGAGGTGAATAAAATCTATAGGACATACAGCACAGGGAAAAACTATTTTTCTAAAGGCAGTTTTTCTTGTTTCGTTTTGTACCTGGAATTGAACTTAAAACCTCAGGATCGGGGCCAGGGAGATGGCTCAGTGGAATAAATGCTTTCCTGGCAAGCGCAAGGGCCTGAGTTCAATCCCCGGTTCCACCAAAAAAAAAAAAAAAAAAAAAAAAAAAAAAACCTCAGGATTGCCAAGCAGGTACAGGGCCATTGAGGTATATCCCAGGCCGCTGGTCTTCCTAAAGTTTTGTGTAGAACCAGGGATTGAACTCAGGCCCTTGCACTTGCCAAGGAAGCACTTATTCCACGGAGACATCTCCTTGGCCCCAGACATCCTCGGCCCCACCTAAAGGGTTTTTTTTAACATTTTGTTTTTAATTTACTATTATGAGGAATAATTTTTTTTAAAGTTTATTTATTTATTTAGAGAGTGTGTGTGTGTGTGTGTGTGTGGCCATGGCATGTGGTGCTGGGGGATTGAACCGCGGTCCCTGTGCTTTGCTAAACTTGTTCTAAGTAGGTGCTTTAGACCACTGAGCCATCTCACCAGCCCGAGGAATAATTTTTGACTCCATACTTCCACAATAACTAGTGAGCTGTCATCCAACATATCTTTGTTTTCCTTAATTATCTGATGTATAAAATAGAAATATAACTGGACTGGCTTGGAAGATTTCAGTTTTAAATATTCAGAGAACAATGCTTGATTTATGAGAAACAATTGCATGTATTTGTGGAAAGAGGTAATGTTCAAGCTGGGAGTTTAAGGTCACTAGAGTTTAAATTTTTTTTTTTTTAAGTTTTTTTAAATGTAGAAAGTTAAGCATGTAAGGAGAGGCCAACCAGTGGATTAAAGTGCCTGTTTAGGCAGAACAGCAGGGGCTGGGAGTTCAATCCCTGGGGCGGGCTGAGACTGGGGTATGGTGGTACACACCTGTAATCCCAGCACTTGGGAGGCTGTAAACAGGAGGATCACTACAAGTCTGATCTACACATTGAGACCCTGTACAGCCTGTCCTAAATACAAAAAAAAAAAAAAAAAAAAAAAAAGAGTGTAAGGAGAAAAAAAAAAAAGCCAGCATGACGGTACACACCTATAATCCCAGCATTCAGGAGGTTGAGGCAGGATTGCCCAAAGTTCATGGCCAGCTTGGGCTACAGGGAAAGACCCTGCTTCAAAAAAAGAAAAAACCCAAAACATAAGAATATAAGAAAGTTAGAAAACAAGAATCATCGTAGCTGATACTTGGGCAGAAATTGGGGCAAGATTAGGACAGGAAGAATAGGTTGGGGATGGGAGTCAATGTTTTTGGTGTTTTTCTGGTTGTTTTGTTTCTGTACTAGGAATTGAACCCAGATTTCAGTCTCAGTCTCTTTTACGTTATTTAGTGTCTGTTACATGCCAGGCACTGTTCTAGGAGCAGTGAATACAGTTGTAAATGACATAATGTCTTTGCCATTAAGCTTATATAGTCCTGTAGGGGGCCAGAGAGATGGCTCCGTGGTATAAACGCTTCCCTGGCAAGCGCAAGAGCCTGAGTTCAATCCCCAGTTCCTCAAAAAAAAAAAAAAGTTTATAGTCCTGTGAGAAGAGCAACAAAAATAGTTAACATGTGTTGACAGTTCTTGTGTGCCCAGCAATTCTATACATTTTATTCATTCAATGTTAACTACTTCATTTTTTTAAAAAGCATTGACTCCAAACTCATTAAACTACCTCAACAAAAAAGCAAATGCACAAATAATAATTATTCTTTTTTAAGCAGTGTCTCACTAAGCAGCTCAGGTTAGCCTAAACTCACAGTAATCTTCTGCCTCAGCCTCCCCAGTCCTGGGATTACAGGCATGCACCACCATGCCCGGCTCACAAATTATTACAAGCAGGAAAAAAAAGTTCTGGAAAAAAAAAAAAGTTTCGGTAAATGGTAGAAGGGTGACTTCAAGACCAGTTTGGCAAGGGTAAGAGGTGTCTGCGAAGCAGGCAAAGGTAACAGTAAAAAGGCTGAGAGGCGCAGACAGCCAGAGAGCAACAGAGTACAAGAAAAGCAGGAGCAGAATGAATCCTAGACTACAAAATTTTTCCAGGTGCAGCGCCTAATGGCTGTAACGCCACATTCATGGGGCTGAGGAAAGAGAATGGAACAGCTGAGGACAAGCCAGGGCTGAACACACCTCTAATCCCAGCACTCCTGAGGCTGAGGCAAGAGGATCATACTGAGTCTGAAACAAGCCTGGGCTACAGAACGAGTCCCTGCCCCCCAACAAGAAAAGGGGGAAAAGAGAAACAAGAAGGGAAACAAAGACAGGCGAAGAATAGAAAGTTAGAGGTCAAGATGGTCAATTTTTTTTTTAATTTTTTTTTTTGTATTTTAGGGAAGGGTCAACAGGGTCTCACTACTAGATCGGACTCAGCGATCCACCTGTTTACAGCCTCCCAAGAGCTGGGATTACAGGCGCGCGCCACCACGCCCAGTCTCAAAAAAATGTTTTTGAGTGCTGGGATTACAGATACCCTGTGTCTCCACAAATCCATGTCAAAAATAAAAGGCACTTACTAGGCATGCTCGAGGCCCTGGGTTAATCACTAGTAGCAGGAGAGAAAAAAAAAAAATTGTCCTTAGCGTTGGGGGGTGGGCGGTTTACTTAAGCAGACGAATGAGCTTCACAGACGTTTCATGGACAGTGACTAGATTAGTGAATACCACACAGAACAAGCGAGAGCAAAGACTGTCTGGCTTCCACATAAACGCTCTGACACGGAGCCCGCTGCCAGCAAGGACCAACTCCGACCACTCTCCCGCCAACGTCTACACGGGAAAACTCCCCCAAATAAGCTGAAGTCGTTATTACCTCACTCCCAGCTCCCTAAAGCAGCGCAACTGTCCCTCCTCACCTGCAAGTGCAAAAACTAAAAGGGAACACACAATTGTTTCGTTCCTCTTCCGGACTCACATCCGCCCGCAATCTCTTTAGGATGAGTCTTTCCAGGAGTTTGAATTGGCGGGAAAATATCACGCTCAGCACTTTCTACGGCAGCCGGAGGTGGCCAAGATTGCCTTAAAATCGAAATAGGAAGTTGCCCCACCTTAAAGTATTTTCCTTCCTATCTAGCAACGGCACTCTAGGCTGTATTCTAAGCCCTGCCCACTTTGCTGGCCCTACCTACCGCCTTTGAAAGATTAACCAATCACTGCCTCGAACTACATCGCTATAAAGACTCGTTACCACCCTCTTTTTTCCCAGCAAGCTGCGCGACTCGCCGGGCCTTATCCCCTTTGTGCCATCCGGGTCTCTCGCACGAGCGATTTGGTCTGGAACGAAGGTTCGGGCCGCTGGTACGGTTGAAAGCGTTGAGTGGAGGCGCCGCTTTAGCGGCCAGTACTCTGGAATATGGCGGTAGGTGGTGTATGTGGAGTTTAAAGCCGGGAGTATTCTCCTGATGGTTTGAGAGAGTGGGTGAAGGGTTTCTAGAGCTGTTCTCCGCCTCTCTGTGTAGACAAAATGGCGCCGCGGCCTTTTTCTGCGCCCGCCATCATGGCTGAACGCTTAGGGAGGGGGAAGTAAGGCGGTGTCGTGGGGGGTGGGGGCACCGCAGGGAGTGCAAATTTTTCCAGAACTTTCCTCATTTCTTCTCCAACCCCATATTTCTTTCGGCTCTGCAGCTGTGTCTCTTAGCCTGCCTTGGTCAGTTTTTCTAGGGTTTGAGAAATTATTTGCTTTAGAGAAGACAGAAAAAGGATCAGGAGTTTTCTCGGAAAATATTTAGTCATAAAAGGTGATGTCTGCGAATGATAGTGTGTGAAGAGAGCCGCAGTTGTGCAGCTTTTTTAAATGCCTTCCTTCAGAGATGGAGTACTTAAATAATTTGGGTTGTGTTCGTGTAAACCTGAATGTATTCTTCGGGAAGGAGCTGCGATGATCTGCCCCTAGGCAGTTTACTAAGTAACCCGTGTTATAATCAATTTGAAGTTCTTGGAAAACAATTAAGTTTTTAAAATTTAAGGCCCCCTTTGTTAATTCAAATAACAATAGTTCTTAAATTACCTCTTCTGGGCTAGAGCCCTGTAGATTGCCTTTCTGAACAGTAACCATGGGCATAGGATGTGGTTGCCTCGGTTTTAGTAGTCTTGTTAAAGAGAAAAATACTGATTTTAATATTCATTTTTAATGGCTGGAAACTTGTATCTGTTTCTGAAAATAAGTGAAACTATTAAAACGTTAAGTGTATTATTGTTCCTAGTAATTGGGATATCTGGAGTTAGGGTTGGTAATTTTTCTGTTTCTCGCCCCCGCTTCCCTACCGCGTATCTTAATTGGATTTTGATTTTATTTTGATTTTACGTGTTACTTTTTGGTACCGGGAATCGAACTCCCGTCACGCTTGCCGGGCAGGCTCCGTGCCTCGGAGCTATATCCCCGGTCTAGGATTTGAATTTTGAATATTTTTGATATGATTTCAAAATGTTGGTAAATTGTTTGGCATATGTGAAACAAAATTGCTTAGTGTTTTGGTCCTTTGATTATTATACTTTGAGTATTAAAGAATAGCATTGATTTTCTTGGTGTCCAATATTTTTAAAAATGACATCTACTAAACATTTGTTTCTGTACTGCTTTCTTCAATGATACTTTGGAGAAGTGGCCTGGTGTTACATTTCGTGCTTAACCTTTGATCTGGAAACATTTGTATACTATATTGCGAGTGTTACTAGGATTTTGTAGCTGAAATTTGTATCAAGCAACTGCGGCATTTCTACAAAGGTGAAATAAAGCTTAGAAACTTTCGTTTTGTTTTTGGGGTACTGGGGGTTGAACTCTGAATCTTGCACTTGCCAGGCAGGTACTTATTCTGCTGAACTATCTCCCTGCCACGCTTAAAATTTTTCAAATTTTAATATTCAACGGAATTTTTTTCTTCATCCATTTTGCTGATGTAAAGGGAAATAAGGTTTGCATAGACTACACCACCTACATCTTTTTGTGAGTGTATTGGGGAGGGATTAGTTTGGTTTAGTTTCTTATCAGTAAGTGTTTACGGTACATAATTGCGTTTATGTTGGAGTTTTAGTGGATAGCATTTGTTCTGTTGAGTGTTCTACAGTTGGAAATGGCTGTTTACTAAGTGTCAGGATAGCTTCTCTGTTGTCAGGCTTCTGTGTTACTAAGCATGTAGTTAAATATCATTCTCTGAAAACTTACTGCCTGGAATAAATGTGTTGTCATTTCCATGAAAATTTTAAAATTCTGGTCTTCGAAAAAATGAAGGCGATGTGCCCAAAGTTCATGATTTTATTTTACCAATCCTAAACTGTATAAGCATTTACTGTGATACACTAATCTGAAGTAGGTCTTAAATATCTGAGAAGAAAAAAGTTTAATGTTTATTGTGAATCGGCAGCCTTAGTTTATATGATAAGCATCATTTATTAATAGTGGGCTCATCAGAGATAAATACAGTATCGATTTAGGGCAGTTAGCTAATGTTGCTGGATCTCCTCTGTAAAATGAAAAGGTGGAAGGAACTCTTTGGAGAGATGAAAACCTCTCAACAGACTTTTTTGGGAGGGGGAACACGGTCTCCCCTGCTCAATTCAGGCTGGCCTTCTTCTTCTTCTTCTTCTTCTTCTTCTTCTTCTTCTTCTTCTTCTTCTTCTTCTTCCTCCTTCTCCTCCTCCTCCTCCTCC